ACGAGCTGATCACCCGCCCAAGGAGTCCTACCGAATGTGTAAGATCTAGAAAAACCGAAGTGAACGGAGAAGTTCATGGAGGTAGGCCTAGGCCCACTGGGGCTCTCGTGCCAAGAAGAAAAAAGGTTCATTACCGCGTTCACAAGAGCCATCCATTGGTCACTATCCTGAGTCAGATGAATCCAGTCCATACCAGCCCATCCTATCTCTCTGAGATCCTTCTTAATATTATACAACGATACGTGTGTAGGTGAGCTAGTCAAATCATCCTTATTTAAAAGAAGAATGGGAGTATATAGACATTTTACAAACGTATATGGGAAAGCCACCTTATCGTGGTGAGGGTGTTTGAGTATGCCAAGGACCCTGAGAGCTATACCAGCGGTAGCGTAGCTACTGGCAGGGCCTCCCTTGCTGGACAGGTCAAAGGGTAGGCATCAGACGAAGAGAGACACCGAAAACTGATGCCGGAAGCAGCGTCATCAGCGGCGACTTGAAGCACAGAGAAAATGATGCTCGAGATGGTTCAAGTTCGTATAGCAACAGGCGTGACCAGAGTGGTTTGAACGGCTGTTGTACTGCGATGTGGAAAGCAAATGGAAAAACTACCACATTATCACTATTCCTGGATAGTCTCTTTCCAAAAACAGAAGATCGCATTAAGTGGAGAAACTGTTTTGGAAGAGGCTGTGGACCTGTCATCTGACAGATTACTGATGAATGAATATGGGAAAGCAGAAACTCGAATTGCAAATAAATTGAAAGTGAAAAGGGTTGCAGCATTTCCAAATGACAGTATTTGTTTGCAAGCACGGATGTGAAAGTTTGTTAAACGAAGGAAGAAGATTTACGCGCCTGTTATCGTGGCTCCTCTACAAGCTACAGAGACAGAAAATGGAGAAAGTTGTCGATGCGACAGAGATGACTGCTTTCAGTGATGGTGCAGAATTATGGAGAAAGTCCAAGGCATACAGACTTCAGAATCGAAAGAAGGACCGTCAAAGACTGAAGGTTTTTATGTCGCCTGAGATGTGGGTTTAGTCTTAGATGGGCGGATAATATTAAAGAAGTAAGGTATGATGATGTGGTTTAGGTAAATCCGGCTGAGAATAGGGTATACTGACGCGTACCTTGGAAGGTAGTAGAATTTCTTTACCTTCCTAACGACTTTCAGCTTCTGAAGAAAGATTTTGCCTCATGTGTTTACTTCGTTGGTCAATAGACAGTTAATAATGTACATATAGTTTTGTAGTAACTTGCTGTTTAGATGACTCGATTATATGCATACACGTATGTTGAAACGGGTAATGTTGCAGT